ACAGCTATAAGGTTATGGTGTAAGGCGTTCCCCTGTCTCCTCGCACACAGTGTATTATAACTGCAGCTATAAGGTTATGGTGTAAGGAGGTCCCCTGTCTCCCCGCTCACAGTGTGTTATAACTGCAGCTATAAGGTTATGGTGTAAGGAGGTCCCCTGTCTCCCCGCACACAGTGTATTATAAATGCAGCTATAATGTTATGGTGTAAGGAGGTCCTCTGTCTCCTGCACACAGTGTATTATAACTGCAGCTATAAGGTTATTGTGTGAGGAGGTAGCCTGTCTCCGCACACAGTGTATTATAACTGCAGCTATAAGGTTATGGTGTAAGGAGGTAGCCTGTCTCCCTGCACACAGTGTATTATAACTGCAGCTATAAGGTTATGGTGTAAGGAGGTCCCTATCTCCCCCCTGCACAGTGTATTATAACTGCAGCTATAAGGTTATGGTGTAAGGAGTTCCCCTGTCTCCGCACACAGTGTATTATAACTACAGCTATAAGGTTATGGTGTAAGGCGTTCCCCTGTCTCCTCGCACACAGTGTATTATAACTGCAGCTATAAGCTTATGGTGTAAGGAGGTCCCCTGTCTCCCCGCTCACAGTATGTTATAACTGCAGCTATAAGGTTATGGTGTAAGGAGGTCCTCTGTCTCCCGCACACAGTGTGTTATAACTGCAGCTATAAGGTTATGGTGTGAGGAGGTAGCCTGTCTCCTCGCACACAGTGTGTTATAACTGCAGCTACACACTGTGTATTATAACTGCAGCTATAAGGTTATGGTGTAAGGAGGTCCCCTATCTCCCTGCACACAGTGTATTATTACTGCAGCTATAAGGTTATGGTGTAAGGCGTTCCCCTGTCTCCCCACACACAGTGTATTATAACTGCAGCTATAAGGTTATGGTGTAAGGAGGTCCCCTGTCTCCTCGCACACAGTGTATTATAACTGCAGCTATAAGGTTATGGTGTAAGGCGTTCCCCTGTCTCCTCGCACACAGTGTATTATAACTGCAGCTACACACTGTGTATTATAACTGCAGCTACACACTGTGTATTATAACTGCAGCTATACGGTTATGGTGTAAGGAGGTCCCCTATCTTCCTGCACACAGTGTATTATAACTGCAGCTATAAGGTTATGGTGTAAGGCGTTCCCCTGTCTCCCCACACACAGTGTATTATAAATGCAGCTATAAGGTGATGGTGTAAGGAGGTCCCTTGTCTCCCCGCACACAGTGTATTATAACTGCAGCTATAAGGTTATGCTGTAAGGAGGTCCCCTGTCTCCCCGCACACAGTGTATTATAACTGCAGCTATAAGGTTATGGTGTAAGGATGTCCCCTGTCTCCCTGCACACAGTGTATTATAGCTGCAGCTATAAGGTTATGGTGTAAGGAGGTCCCCTGTCTCCCCACACACAGTATATTATAAATGCAGCTATAAGGCTATGGTTTAAGGAGGTCCCCTGTCTCCCCTCACACAGTGTATTATAACTGCAGCTATAAGGTTATGGTGTAAAGAGGTCCCCTGTCTCCTCGCACACAGTATTATAACTGCAGCTATAAGGTTATGTTGTAAGGAGGTCCCCTGACTCCCCGCACATAGTGTATTATTACTGCATCTATAAGGTTATGGTGTAAGAATGTAGCCTGGCTCCCGCACACAGTGTTTTATAACTGCAGCTTTAAGGTTATGGTGTAAGGAGGTCCTCTGTCTCCCCGCACACAGTGTATTATAACTGTAGCTATAAGGTTACGGTGTAAAGAGGTCCCCTGTCTCCCCACACACAGTGTATGCAGGGTTTCTGGCAAAGACAGACACACCTCTGACAGACACACCCTGGCAGACACACTCACTCACTGACAGACACACACTCAGAGAAACTCACTGACAGACATACATTCACTGACAGACACTTACTGACATACATACACTCACTCAAGGACAGGCACACACACAGGCAGACACTCACTGACAGACAGACACACACACTGACAGTCACACTTACACACTCAATGACAGACACACACACAGGCAGACACTGACATACATACACTCACTCACTGACAGACACACACACACACACTCACAGAGGCAGACACTCACTTACAGACAGACCGACACACACACACACTAACAGTCAAACAGTGACACAGACATCCAGCCTCCTTACCTCCCTGGGATAGAGTGTGAGGCAGCTTTTCGTTCCTCCAGAGTGCTGTTTAGTATGCCGGGGCCGGATTGACGTCATATTTCGGCTCCCGGAATCACAGACAGCGCGCGAGGGAGGAGTGGAAAGCTGCAAGAAGAGCCTCCCTCGCCGCCCACACTGCTGCCTGCCTGCCTCCTCTCCTCGGCCGGCATTCATTGGCAGAGCAGGCGGAGGCAAATGGAGACCAATTTACAGCAGACTGGCCTTTTAACTTTAATTTTACCCCTGAAGAAGTCCGAAGTGTATCGGACAAAACGCGTAGGGTTGGGCTATTGTGGAGAGTTTCCTTTTTTGTTTTATCTTGTTATTCAATCATTTTCATTGCTAATTGAAGAAGTGGGTTTTCCTTCTGTCTAATAAGATTGCCTGCGGACTTCTGCTGATGCCTTTATATCACTACGATCTAGTAAGTGTTATCAACTAAAAACGCACTACCAGGTTATAAGCAGTCTGCATTTATTATTTGATCTTTCGTCAAGTTTAAAAATCGATGTGCCTTCAATCACTTTTTGTTTGTGAGTGCATCCTTAGTACTACTATATGGTATATTTATGATAGTACACCATGATCTTTATTTTGTTCCTACTGTAGATCCACTCTATTGAATATATTTGTTGTGAGGACTGGAAGGAGTCATATTTTGTTGATTCTACAGCGTGGGGAATTAGTATATAGGTAAACCATACTTGTTTTTACCTCCAAATTATATATCTTTCCACTTTGATTTGTAAGGGTGATATTTTGTATCTTATACCTGCTATCAGGGTAAGCAGGTGACTGTTCTGCCATACCTCCTGGGCCCCCTGTGACAAGGCTCTTTTGGGCGCCATTTTCGGGTGCCTGGAGAATCGGCCTGGCGCTGAGTGGGGGGGCAGCGCTGCAAGATATCCATGCCACCTTACGTTTCATGACAAAGTAAAGCCTGTCTTCTGGTGAGTCTTTTTGTTGGCTTGTTTGGTAATGTTTTGCATTGCATTTGTGAAGGGTTAACAATTTTTCCATTCTCTTACGTCATGGCAGTGCTGTATTTCCTGCAAGGCAAACAAGGCATTTGCTGCAAGGCAAACAAGGCATTTGCCTTGGGGGGAACTTTCCAGGGAGCATAAAAACGCTGCCCCCAAATGGCAGGCGGCTAGCTGAGCACCAGGCGGGGGGGTGAGGGAGCGCCTGCTCAGCTCCCTCGTGCGCCGCAGAGTGATGCCGGGAACCGGAGTATGACTGCTCCCGGCATCAGTCTGCGGTGCGCGCCTGGACATCAACTGCCCGCCTGCATGCATGCCTTCCTGCCCGGCCAGCAGCCCCACAGGACCCCAGGTAAAAAATCCACCCAGTTCTCCCAAAGGTAAGTGCCACAATTGGTAGGGAACCTAACATACAGACTGGACACAACAGACAGAATTGCAATACCGGTCCTTAGAATGTCCGGGCTATGCAAAAGAATAGTCAAAGCAAGCTAAGTTCAAAGGGAAATAGAGAGACGGAATACGAAGAGACAAGCCGAGGTTAAGGAGCAGAGAAAACAGAGTAAATGTAAGACAAGACAAAGTTCGGTAACCAATTAATCAGACAGAGTATAACGCGTTATTGGGCTAAACAAAGACTACAACAGGGCACTGAGGCAAGGGGGAGGTTATCTTATATACACACAGTGTGTGTCTGATTGGCTAATCTCCAATTAGTGTTAACCACAACACGTGGGATGTGTTTCTTCTCCCCCTTGTGGTCTCTGAGGTCATCACTGTGTGTCGGATCACATATGTAAGGTTGCTGCTCTGGAGCGTGCAGCGTCAGAAACACTGTCAGTCTGGAGCAGGGCGGTAGGGACCAGATGGCACCAGTGACGGGGTAAGCAAGGCGGGCCGCGAGCAGCGCGATAGGCAGGGGACCGGACAGTAGGGAGGCTGGGTAGAATTAAATTTTTTTTTTTTTTTTTTTAATCTGTGAGTGTTGGGGGGGAGGGGGAGGAGGAAGTGTGTGTGTATGACTGTCAGTGTGTGTCTGTTAGTGAGTGAGTGTGCCTTTGAAGTGAGTGTGTGTATGTCTGTCAGTGTGTGTCTATCAGTGAATTAATGTGTGTGTCTCTAAGTCTGTGTGTGTGTCTGTGAGGGTGCCTGTGTGTTTGAGTGATTATGTCTGTGTGAGTGATTGTGTATGCCTGTCAGTGTGTGTGTCTGTGAGTGGATGGATGGGTATCTGTCAGTGAGTGTGTGTGTCTGCATCATTGTGTGAGTCTGTCAGTGATTGTGTGTGTCTTTCAGGGTGTGTCTGTGAGTGAGTCAGTGATTGTGTCAAATCAGTGAGTATGTGTGTATGTCAGTGTATCTGAGAGTGTGTATATGTCTTTAACATGTGTGGCCTTACATGAAGGGGTGACACAAATGTAAATTATGGGGTGCCCAAGTTCCGTCATGCCTAGGGCAGCACAGATCCAAAATACACCACTGCGTCATGGTTATATGGAATGGCTAAAAAAATGTTTTATTTCCCTTGGGACATTGTAAATGGGTTTTAGTGCACTGTAACACGACATGTTTACATGAAAAAGGCCAATTTAATTCTTGGTTTAATTAGCACGTTACTATCCCATCATTCAGGGGGAAAGGAACGGTTTCAAATGGGCAGACTTTTAGAATCAGAAACAGATGTTATGGAAATGTGAAAAAAGGCAAATTTATTTCCATTAAGATGTCTCTGTGTTTAGGAATTATTTTCTAAACATAGAATGTATCTAAATATTAACATTAGAAGGATTTGATGTTCTCTACAAAAACACATTGGGAGGATCTTATCTAGTCACAGTATAGACTCTCTCCTGCTGCGTTCCATTGGTCACAGTATAGACTCTCTCCTGCTGCGTTCCATTGGTCACAGTATAGACTCTCTCCTGCTGCGTTCCATTGGTCACAGTATAGACTCTCTCCTGCTGAGTTCTATTGGTCACAGTGTAGACACTTCCCTGCTGAGTTCCATTGGTCACAGTATAGACTCTCTCCTGCTGCGTTCCATTGGTCACAGTATAGACTCTCTCCTGCTGCGTTCCATTGGTCACAGTATAGACTCTCTCCTGCTGAGTTCTATTGGTCACAGTATAGACACTGCTCTGCTGAGTTCCATTGGTCACAGTATAGACTCTCTCCTGCTGAGTTCCATTGGTCACAGTGTAGACACTGCTCTGCTGAGTTCCATTAGTCACAGTATAGACACTGCTCTGCTGAGTTCCATTGGTCACAGTATAGACTCTCTCCTGCTGAGTCCCATTGGTCACAGTATAGACACTGCTTTGCTGTTGGCTTGTTTGGTAACAGACTCAATATAGACACTGCTCTGCTGAGTTCCATTGGTCACAGTATAGACTCTCCTGCTGAGTTCCATTGGTCACAGTATAGACACGGTTCTGCTGAGTTCCATTAATCACAGTATAGACACTGCTCTGCTGAGTTCCATTGGTCACAGTATAGACTCTCTCCTGCTGAGTCCCATTGGTCACAGTATAGACACTGCTTTGCTGTTGGCTTGTTTGGTAACAGACTCAATATAGACACTGCTCTGCTGAGTTCCATTGGTCACAGTATAGACTCTCCTGCTGAGTTCCATTGGTCACAGTATAGACACGGTTCTGCTGAGTTCCATTAATCACAGTATAGACACTGCTCTGCTGAGTTCATTGGTCACAGTATAGACACTGCTCTTCTGAGTTCTATTGGTCACAGTGTAGAAACTTCCCTGCTGAGTTCCATTGGTCACAGTATAGACACGGTTCTGCTGAGTTCCATTAATCACAGTATAGACCCTTACCTGCTGAGTTCCATTAATCACAGTATAGACCCTTACCTGCTGAGTTCCATTAATCACAGTATAGACACTTACCTGCTGAGTTCCATTAATCACAGTATAGACACCTGTTAAGTTCCATTAATCACAGAATACACGTCCATTGGCCACAGTATAGATACTCTCCTGCTGGGTTTCATTGCTTGCAGTGTGAACACACATCTGCTGAGTTCCATTGGTCTCATCGTGGACACATTCCTGCTGAGTTGCATTATAATATACAGTATGTGCATACTGAAACGTGACCCATCCACTTAAGTACCTATTGTTTCATTATTTGATAATTCTTCTTCTTAATAATCTTTTGTTTCCACTAGAATACTAACATTGGGTCAGAATGGCTATATGGGCAAACTGTGATCATTTGTCAAGAGCAACAGTAATCCTATTTATCTGATATTTAATCTTTTTGCAAACTCTACTGTACTATTTATTCCTAATAGTATCTAATCCCCTCACTGTTCCTAAACACCCAGGAATCTGTACTGATCAATACCCCTTAATGCTATATGTGTATAAACTGTTTTGTTTGGAAGACAATATTGACGTTGTGTTCTACACAGTATCTGACATTTGACATGATCTATAAACCGTTTAACACTGACAGTAACTCTTTTTGATTGGCGGCCCAGCGAGGCGGATGTGTCAGGGCATTTCGATTGGTGGCAGTTGTGACATTGTGTCACAGAGCACGCTGTATAATAGGGGCTAACCGGGAATTGTCATTTTAGCAGTATCAAAGTCTTTATTTTGTGGAGTTGGAGAGTGTGTCTAATACAGTTATTTTGATTTAAAATCCTAGAACCAACCCCTGCAACGTCTGTTGGTACTGGCCTGCTCATAATATATTTGCCACTTGCTCCATCTCTGACCATCTGTGGTCAGATGGGTTAATCTATTTTGTCTTTGGCCCCCTGTGTGTTAAAGGGTTAAAGGAAACTGTAGACCGGGAAGTCTTCAAGGGTTTAATGCTAATTATTATAGGTAAATGACACCCTACAGAGTTGGAGACACAAATACCCAATTTCCCTGGGCATATTGTGACATGTCTGTGAGAACTCAGCTGAAACCTGTATTTACATTTTTTTCTTGTTTCCCTCCCTCTTCCTAACATTAAATTATGTTTCTGTCATTTCCTTTTTGTGCAGACATGCTGGGTGCCTGCAGGGGCTAGCCTCCATTTGAAATAATTCTCAATGAATTCAAATGCAAAAGAGAATGCAGACTAGAATTTCAATTATGTATATAGCGCCAACGTAGTTTGCAGCGCTGTGCAATAGGTAAGACACAACAATCAATTCTAACAAAACCTGTTTGACATATTGAAACAATAGGTGTACAGGGGTCTGCCCAGTGAGCTTACAATCTATACACAATCACGTACCATCCAGAAAGCTGAAAATCTGGAAGCTCTCAACTACTGTAGAACCTCATTAAGGGTTCCATCACTAGCCTGACAGCACAGCATCTTCGAATCTAGAGCAAAGCGGTTCTGCAGCAGCTTAGAGGTTTTAACATGAGGCTCACTCCCAGCTTTCCATTACAACACAAATATACAAGCGCAGCTCCAGTGCTTGTCAAACTATAGTCAGATTTACTGTGTTATGGGAGTGATGGGAGTGGTAGTCACTTAACTACTGGAGGTCTGGTTTTATTGGGCAGACTAGATGGGCCAAATGGTTCTTATCTGCCTGTCACATTTTCATTCTATGTTTTTGAATATTCTCCACAGCACAATTGACAGATGTTCCTGGATTGCCATGCCCATGATGCCCAGCCAGCCATTGATGATTTGAGAACATATATTGTATATGTCATTTTACCAGTTCATATTGTCTTGGCTTGACTTTATTATTTGAATGCTGTTGTATGCATTATTGGTGCTGTGTACCACTGCCAGAAGATTGTGCCAATGATCTACTACTACCACCAGTGGCTGTGCAGTGTGTGCTATATGGCCTGAATCTGGTGTACAGTAAAATGTCAGAGCCCCCCTCCTAGCTGCTGGGGGGCTGCCCTGTGTGGGATGGGATCCTGTGGCTCTTGCTGAGAGTTTAGGGAGGGGTGTGGACTAGATTCTGGCCAACTCCATCCCCTCCCACGAAATCATTCCCTTTCCCCTTACTCAGCTGCTGCAGGTCCCCTGCTGTAGGTACAGGTCCATCTGTTTGGGAGCCCTCTGTGTGATGCAAGCCTGGTAAACGAGACAAGAAAAGGACTCTCTCATTCAGATACCCAGCCGGATCAGCCAGGATTAGACCCCCTGCATGTCCCTACAGAGTCCATGCTGTCTGCCCTGCACCCCCAAATCCTGGGTGCCCTGTCTGTATAGTGTGATCTCCTCCACCCCTGGGTGCCCTGTCTGTATAGTGTGATCTCCTCCAGCCCTGGGTGCCCAGTCTGTATAGTGTGATCTCCTCCACCCCTGGGTGCCCAGTCTGTATAGCCCTGGGTGCCCAGTCTGTATAGTGTGATCTCCTCCACCCCTGGGTGCCCAGTCTGTATAGTGTGATCTCCTCCAGCCCTGGGTGCCCAGTCTGTATAGTGTGATCTCCTCCACCCCTGGGTGCCCAGTCTGTATAGTGTGATCTCCTCCACCCCTGGGTGCCCAGTCTGTATAGTGTGATCTCCTCCACCCCTGGGTGCCCTGTCTGTATAGTGTGATCTCCTCCACCCCTGGGTGCCCAGTCTGTATAGTGTGATCTCCTCCACCCCTGGGTGCCCAGTCTGTATAGTGTGATCTCCTCCACCCCTGGGTGCCCTGTCTGTATAGTGTGATCTCCTCCACCCCTGGGTGCCCTGTCTGTATGGTGTGATCTCCTCCACCCGTGGGTGCCCAGTCTGTATGGTGTGATCTCCTCCACCCCTGGGTGCCCAGTCTGTATAGTGTGATCTCCTCTACCCCTGGGTGCACTGTCTGTATAGTGTGATCTCCTCCAGCCCTGGGTGCCCAGTCTGTATAGTGTGATCTCCCCCACCCCTGGGTGCCCAGTCTGTATAGTGTGATCTCCTCTACCCCTGGGTGCCCAGTCTGTATGGTGTGATTTCCTCCACCCCTGGGTGCCCAGTCTGTATAGTGTGATCTCCTCCACCCCTGGGTGCCCTGTATACTGTCACCCCCCTCCCAGTGCTGTGTATACTGTACTCCCCCACCTGTGTGATGCCCCCCCTCCCATGATAAAGTATTGTCACTGAGCTTCCAGGTCCCAGAGCTCCCCCTGCTCATGCTCCCCTCCACGCTCCTTTATCCCTAATTCTCCATCTCACGCCCCCTCCTGGCCCCCGGATCCTCGTGCTCCGTGTCAGACCGAATTGTGCACAACCCGGGAATGGCTGAGAGCCGTCGGACACTGGCTGCCCTGGGGAGGAGGCTGCTGGCCGCAGCGCTGTGCACACTGCTGCTCTGCTCACAGTGCGGCTTCTCCCGGACCCTGAGGAAGAGAGCCCTGAAACTCAGCGACAAGGACGATGTGAGTGAGGGAGGGCACAGGGTGCCAGGCATGGGGGATACAATGTGCCAGGCATAGGGGACAGTGTGCCAGGCAGGTGAGACAGGGTGCCAAGCCTGGGGGACACAGGGTGCCAAGACGGGGGGGAGGGCACCTCTACACAACTTACCTATTTATTTGTATCTAGATTTGTCTATATGTATCCTGATTTCTGTATCTCTTTATCTGTCTCATCATCTTTCTATCAATGTATCTGCCTGTCTGTGTATGCAACATTCAGAAAAGGGTGACCTAGTAATGACATGTTTTCAGCATATGGTCTATTTATCCTATTAAACCTTATGTCTATTAATTTTTATTCTGTGGAGTTAAATTACTAAATATGAATAGTGGGAAAAGTTGTCCGATGCAGATGGGGGAGTAAGCACATTTGAAAATCACTGTGAGTTTATTTCCTGAGCTATATATGTCATTCTACATTGATTGCTGTAATTAAAGGCATAATAAAAACATTTAGGGGTTAGTTTACTAAACACCGTATTGTATCAAAGTGGTATTTGAACGACATAACGTTGTCTAATTTAGGACTTAGAGAATGTTTCCTGATAAACAAAGTGTGTCGGAATTTTTCCTTTTTATAAATTTGTTCCAATTTGGAGTTCAGTGAATACGGTCTATTATCAGATTCTGTGTGAGAGAAAATGAGGTCAGGATGTCGGTGTCGGATCTCTTACTGCACTTGTGTTGTCTTTCAATAGGAGTCAAGTGTTGGCGAGCTTGGGGTTTCTGTCTGTGATACGGAGTGTCTGTTTCATTCTCATTCCTCTAAGTTTTTATTATATATATATGTATAGAGAGAGAGAGAGAGAGTCACAGACTTTATTCAATTATTATTTTTCAATATTAATACTTTTATGGACTCACCATAACTCGTTAATGAATAAAAACTAAAGGCCAAAGCACGATGCTCTCTGTACTCCGGATAATGTCTTAATTTCAAATTTACCTTTTTTTCCCCTTCGGTAAAAACTTTACAATTAGCTGTGTTGGAAAAATTACTGAAGTTGGGAACATTTTATATTTTGGATTTTTTTCAGCCTTATAGTTGCTCTCGCTTAGTGAATAAGCCTGTGTAGTTTACTTTATTTTGCATTGCTGGGTATTTTTAGCATTCTCCGCGATCTGACGATACGGGGGAGATCTCAAAGGATGCTGCCTTTTTGTAATATCTTGGTCTCGTTTTTTGCTTTTGGTATCTGTTATTTTTTACTCCCAAGACTGTGTGTCGGAATCACACAAGGTTCTGCTATGCAAGCTACTAACTCCAGCAGCATGTAATGCATTCTAGTCCAGAAGTTGCCTAATTCCTGAATACAGGGATGATCCAAAACATTATCCAGTGTTTTAACTGCAAATCCATAGTGCAGGCTGCCAAAGTATCCTGGGATTTATAGTTTTACAACTGCTGGAAGACTGTCCCTTGTCCACCCATTTAATGGAACATTCATTTTTGGAGTTACCAGTCAGTTTGTTTCTTTTTAAATCATTATAGATAAATATAAATAATAGTGGGTGTTTTTTCCTTGACATTTCTCCTCTGACACTAGGAACTAGCTAAGATCGCAGCCATCCCTGGTCTCTAATTGCTTTCACTGCAAATGTGGTGCTGTAATAGCATGCCCGCTTATACAGCACAATGTATCACAGAGCTGCAAGTGGCGTCTTGAAAACCATAAATGAATATCGTTTTAGAATTGTAGTGGGATGTTCGGACATTGTCCCTGCAGACGGCTTAGGACACAACAGATTTACTCACTACAGCACTAATGTTCAGGGGTTCGACGTTAATTTCAAATATAAGATCACAGTAGTCGAACTAGAAAATTCTCCAAGTCAGACATGCTTCCTGTTCGGATACATTGGCCTTAAATTTGAAATTTACTTTGAATTTTCACTTTAGTGAATAACCTTGTACAGTGAATGCATGATCAATTATCTACTTAATTTCCCCTCTCCTCTTTAAATTTCCCAAGTGGTTTGGGACCACGAGGCATCATTGAACATGTAAAGCCGACGCATTTAATTGCTCGAACAGACACTGTCGTCTCCTGGATCATGTCAATGGTTTTGTTTACTTTTCCTGGTACCTCTGCTGATGTAGTCTGTATTCTTCTGTAGTTCCTCAAGGTTATGTGTGTCAGGGCTTCTGACGTGATTCAGCATGTCCACTGGATCTTCTTGATCTCCAGAACTTCCTTCCTCTTCACTTTATATCCTTCTGCCTTACTTTTTGCCTTGTGTCTTCGGTAACATATCAGCACTTTCCCATAGCTTAGCATTTCCAAAACAGAGTTTGCAGTGATTCCTCCTAAGTAATGCTGCTAAATTCTTCTTAGATGTTGAGCTGTGCAAGTGCTTTATCAGGAGGTGCGGTAATCCCTTTGACACGTTGGCTCATATACGAAGTTCTCTGCTGTAAATTTCCACATGTCCATTCATCCATGATAAGTAAAAACTTCAATTAAACAAGGCAATGAAAAATATTCCTTTCCATGTGCGTAGCATTTAGATGAATAAGCAACTTTCCCCAGCTGGGATATATTCCAGACCTGTGTGTGTGTGTGTGTGTGTGTTTGTGTGTGTGTGTGTGTACAGTATGTCTGTGTATATAAAATGACTGTAAAATGCAGAAATCTATTTGCAAGCGATGTTAAAGTAAATACTTTGCAAACGTAGTAGGATTCCTAAGGTTATAAGACACGAGTAATAGATTTGATAGAAATGTTGCTATATTAAGAAAGAGGTTTGGTTTTATTTTTAGTACAAAAAATCGTAAATTTTTGTGCTAGAAAAAAATTGATTAAAAAAGCTTTTTTTTCTGTCCTAGATATTGATATTATTATTACCAAACCGATTGGTACTCTTTGTAATTGACCTGGCATTGATGACCTGAACAGACTTGCAACCTTGAAGTTTAAACAGCTTATTTTGCAGCAATGTATAGCTTCATATTGTTCTATGTAACAAAGCACCATAGAGTGCGGTCTCTGGGAAAGAGCTGCCCAGTGTGACAATGTACCATAGAGTTCTGTCTCTGGGAAAGCGCTGCCCAGTGTGACAATGTACCATAGAGTTCTGTCTCTGGGAAAGAGCTGCCCAGTGTGACAATGTACCATAGAGTTCTGTCTCTGGGAAAGCGCTGCCCAGTGTACCATAGACAGCTGCCCAGTGTGACAATGTACCATAGAGTTCTGTCTCTGGGAAAGAGCTGCCCAGTGTGACAATGTACCATAGAGCTGTCTCTGCTGCCCAGTGTGACAATGTACCATAGAGTTCTGTCTCTGGGAAAGAGCTGCCCAGTGTGACAATGTACCATAGAGTTCTGTCTCTGGGAAAGAGCTGCCCAGTGTGACAATGTACCATAGAGTTCTGTCTCTGGGAAAGCGCTGTCCAGTGTGACAATGTACCATAGAGTTCTGTCTCTGGGAAAGCGCTGCCCAGTGTGACAATGTACCATATAGTTCTGTCTCTGGGAAAGAGCTGCCCAGTGTGACAATGTACCATAGAGTTCTGTCTCTGGGAAAGCGCTGCCCAGTGTGACAATGTACCATAGAGTTCTGTCTCTGGGAAAGAGCTGCCCAGTGTGACAATGTACCATAGAGTTCTGTCTCTGGGAAAGCGCTGCCCAGTGTGACAATGTTCCATAGAGTTCTGTCTCTGGGAAAGCGCTGCCCAGTGTGACAATGTACCATAGAGTTCTGTCTCTGGGAAAGAGCTGCCCAGTGTGACAATGTACCATAGAGTTCTGTCTCTGGGAAAGAGCTGCCCAGTGTGACAATGTACCATAGAGTTCTGTCTCTGGGAAAGCTGTGTGACAATGTACCATAGAGTTCTGTCTCTGGGAAAGAGCTGCCCAGTGTGACAATGTACCATAGAGTTCTGTCTCTGGGAAAGCGCTGCCCAGTGTGACAATGTACCATAGAGTTCTGTCTCTGGGAAAGCGCTGCCCAGTGTGACAATGTACCATAGAGTTCTGTCTCTGGGAAAGCGCTGCCCAGTGTGACAATGTACCATAGAGTTCTGTCTCTGGGAAAGAGCTGCCCAGTGTGACAATGTACCATAGAGTTCTGTCTCTGGGAAAGAGCTGCCCAGTGTGACAATGTAAAGAGTTCTGCTGCCCAGTGTGACAATGTACCATAGAGTTCTGTCTCTGGGAAAGAGCTGTCCAGTGTGACAATGTACCATAGAGTTCTGTCTCTGTGAAAGAGCTGCCCAATGTGACAACACATCATAGAGTGCTTTCTGTGTGAAAAAGCTGCTCAATGTGACAAATCCCAATAGAGTGCTGTCTCTGTGAAAGAGCTACTCAATGTGGTGATTTACCATAGAGTGCCATCTCTGGGAAAGAGCTGCCCAATGTGACAATGCACCATAGAGTGTTATAAGAGCCTACCCATCCCTAATGTGATCCTTTCTTTGGAGGTCTGATGACATTTCCTTGGAATCAGAATGTTGGTTTCAGCGCTCGCCTGGCCTGCTATAACTTCTTTAAGGTCTCGGATACTGTTTTGTCCTTTCCGTTTCCAATATAAGCCTTCGTCCCTCCCTATGCTTTGTAGTGTGCATAGCTGAATTGTAAATCGTTTGCTGTCCATCATCAAGGCTATGAATATGAGTTTGTACTCGAGGTTTGTCTGGATTTGAGAATCTGTCCCATGTCCAAGTACATTCAAGCCCAATCCCAGTCTTTGTCAGAGATCTGATTCAACAGCTGAGTTGACAGAATCCAGCAGCTCTGCTTCCTGTGAGGATTCTGCATTCACTACATTGCACTTGCAGCTGTCTAGCAATGCTGGGGATCGAATGAGGACACGTCCCTGCTTGTAACAGGAGCACTGCCATGCTAAAAGTGTAAGGGCAGGCTGCCTGTCATAGGAGAATTCATATGGTAAACATGAGAGGGGGAATCCTATTGTATTGCCAGTCTTACCATCTTGTCATTGTAGCTCTATGTAGATAGGGTACTAGAGGAGAGGGCAGGATTCCTGATTAGCGTTGGAACTCATGACTGGGGTTATCGGTGGGACTTAGGGTTATGCATGCGCAATCCGTATTAGAAGTAAGATTTCAGGGTCAGTACTCACAGTGGTATAGTATTTATTAAAGTGAGAATTCAAAGGGGATTTTAAATTTAAGGCCAGAGCAGCCAAACTGAAAGGATAATTAACATAGAGATGGTTTCCGGTTCGGATTTTATGACCTTAAATGTAAAATTAACCTTTAATTCAGTTTGCAAAATTAGGGGTTAGGATTAGAACCGGGAATTAGCAGTTGGGTTAAAACACTGGATAAGGATCTGGAATGATGTGTTACTCTGTATTAGGAATTAGTAGTTTGGACAACTGGAGGTGTAGGAGTCAGGACTACAAGTTAGGAAATGGTATATCGGTGGCTAGGTCACAGAATTAGCAGGTCCGGACTCTGGCGTTAGGATTACCAGTTCTTCCTCTGTACTCCGTATAAGGTCCCAAGAGAAGCGTTAGGATTCAGGATGTGTCAAAATAAATTGTCTCTTCTGTTGCACACTCTGTTTAGTATTTTCTTTTAACGTGATTAGCATTTACCTGGCAGTAAGAGATGTTATTAGCTTGGACTTTTTTACTTCATTTTGCAAAACTGTTATCAACTTCCGTATTGTTTTATTTTTTTTGTCCCTTATAGACCTTTCTGTGAATAATAATGTGTTTCCCTCAGCTCTGACCGTGAACTGGTTAAAGAGAATTTCGCAATCCAGTACGGAGTCTGCCTATAGGCTTCTGCTAACAAAAGCCAGAGTCTGCTTTACATCTGAATGCCATTTGTTTCCCTTTTTTGGGGGTTATGGAATCTAGAATACTTAACTTGTCTTCAGTGGTTTTATAAACTAACTTGAAAAAATAAATCTCCTGTAGGGCTTTTTTTTTTAAATGTATAAAAGGCAGAAAGGTTTTGGGAAGGAGAACCAGATGTTTGGCAGACGGTCTGAGCAGATGTTAATATCTGCCGGACGTTTGATGACTCACTTGCAGCAGTTGAACAATGTGAGGTTATCTATAAAAGATTTATAAGTTCTATTTAGACCAGTTGTAAAAAGTATTTATTGTCTCATTTTTTGCGTTTCGGGAGTTGTTAATGTAGCGCCTTCTAATTTAGTGATTTATACAGTAATATCAGAGCCAAGAGCCTTTTATCGATATTATTTGCAGACCGGCCTACAGTTTATAATGCCTTTTTGCACCAAAAACAGAAAAAGCTTTAAGATTTCTATACCGTATAAGGTGAAAAGCAAACTATTATAATATAATATAAATATAATTAATTTATATTATAATTCCATAAAATAGCAACATACCAACTATTCTTACTACGGCAACGATTCTGCTGGCGTTATCTAAACCCACGTGGGGATCTGTAGGTAATGAGGGGGAGAGAGAACGTGACGATACTGTCTGAGGGGTTTTTATTAAGGAGAGAAAATAGGGGTTGATTGGAGTAAAGCAGGTTACAACTAGAGGGGGGTAGGTTTGTAGGGAGGTTGTTGGATACACAGCAGTAGGTAAAACTGATTAATGTTCTATGGAGCAAATGCTGAATAGGCTGGAATGAAGAAAAGGGTAAGCTGGGGGAGATAAAGCTCAAGGAGAGTAAGGGGGAACAGACTGGAATTAGGAAGGGGTAAGCCGGGGGAGATAAAGGTGAAGGAGAGTAAGGGGAACAGACTGGAATTAGGAAGGGGTAAGCCGGGGGAGATAAAGGTGAAGGAGAGTAAGGGGAACAGACTGGAATTAGGAAGGGGTAAGCTGGGGGAGATAAAGCTGAAGGAGAGTAAGGGGAACAGACTGGAATTAGGAAGGGGTAAGCTGGGGGAGATAAAGCTAAAGGAGAGTAAGGGGAACAGACTGGAATTAGGAAGGGGTAAGCTGGGTGAGATAAAGCTAAAGGAGAGTAAGGGGAACAGACTGGAATTAGGAAGGGGTAAGCTGGGGGAAATAAAGGTCAAGGAGAGTAAGGGGAACAGACTGGAATTAGGAAGGGGTAAGCCGGGGGAGATAAAGGTGAAGGAGAGTAAGGGGGAACAGACTGGAATTAGGAAAGGGTAAGCTGGGGGAGATAAAGCTAAAGGAGAGTAAGGGGAACAGACTGGAATTAGGAAGGGGTAAGCTGGGGGAGATAAAGCTGAAGGAGAGTAAGGGGGAACAGACTGGAATTAGGAAGTGGTAAGCTGGGGGAGATAAAGCTGAAGGAGAGTAAGGGGGGACAGACTGGAATTAGGAAGGGGTAAGCTGGGGGAGGTGAAGGAGAGTAAGGGGGGACAGACTGGAATTAGGAAGGGGTAAGCTGGGGGAGATAAAGGTGAAGGACACTAAAGGGGAACATACTGGAATTAGAAAGGGGTAAGCGGGGGGAGATAAAGGTGAAGGAGAGTAAAGGGGGAACAGACTGGAATTAGGAAGGGGTAAACTGGGGGAGATAAAGCTGGTGAGGTCTGGAGGAGAGAAAGGGGGAATAGACTGGAACTTGGCTGCAGATCACTAGAAAGGGACTAAGCTGATGGGAATAAAGGCTGCAGATCAGTAGAGGAGGTAATTGTGAGACAGGCTGCTGGGAGTGAAGAGTAAGTCTGGAGGAAGGGAGAGAGGATAGATGGATACCATAACAAGCCAGGGATGGAGTGGAGAGAAATAAGTGTGACAGAATGGAAAAACGACCGGGGCAGATAAGAAAAATTATCATGCAGCATCCTGAGGACCTTCATTATCTCAATCATCTCAAACAAAATAGCATTAGGAGTAGAAACCTGTGTTCCTAACGGTGTAATGCCCCCATCCCGAGTATTAGGTAAGGTCCCCCTCAACCCCTCACCCTCCATGTGCAGGAATAGTGACTAAAGTGAAAGTTTTACTCACCTTTTTACTGAGCTGAGGTTCCATTGGCGTTGCTCATGTCTCTGCCTCCCGCAACGTCATGGAGGAGGCATCGTTCAGAAGACAGCCACTAGAAGTGACATTGCCATTTAGTGGTCCTTTAACAATTGCTTAAAGGGTAATGCTGCCAATGAGTAATGATTTAATGGCAATAATACCATCATAGCAGTAACCGAGTAGCTGTGTCAGTTCATATGTGTGTTTATTGTGTTTGAAGTGACCAGAGGCTGCCAACTTGGCTTTCTATATGCACACACCTTGAGCTCTGAAACCATTCCATCCTATCCCTGTGTACACATTGGCTACATTTTGCACTGGAGAAAGCTTGGGGTGCACTGCTGGGCTTCCTTACAGTCTGCAATGATAACCTGCAATATGCTTACACTCTGTGTGCCTGAATAAGGCATTCTTTTTAGCATCTTTGGAAAGCTGCAATTCGAAATATGTAATCACGTTTCTTCTCAATAACTACAAACTGGGTGTGTGCATTTATTTGCATTCATTTTGTATCTTTATACTAACTAATTCCCCAGCGCTATACAATATTATGAAAAGCGGGGAAATTTATAATAAATGAGACAATTACACCGTGACACAGGAACAATAAGTTGATGAGGGCCCTCATCACACCTCAGGCAAAGACTCTGTCCTTCTGGGATCTTTGCATATTTTGCAAGGACCCCTGATGGTGACATTTCTGCTAGGGTTTCAGTGGTCCGGAAGTGCAGCAGAGGTAAGTGATACTTACCTGATGCTGTTCTCTGCAGGTGCCACCATATTTAAACTTCAGCTCCAGGCTCAACACCAGCAGGAGCCCACGTCCGTGCTGTATGTTATGTGCGAGAGTACAACACGGATGTCTATCTAGGATCCCATGTTCATGTCTTGTCATGAGAGAAATAATACCTTCTTCTCATAGCTGTTACCAGCAACGGGAAGGGGGGAGTCACATAGCTCCACCTTTTGTCAACTTAAGGATTTACCATTAAGCAAAGTAGTCCCTACTTTGTCATACGATATCTTTTGACTGCATTGGAACTTCGGTTGAATTTCGTGTTTATGTACATTTCATTAGCTGCATAAAATTAACTGGAGTTATATTGAAACTCACTTCTTCAGGAAAGCGTATCAATTAAACGGTGAACAGCTTTCCCTCCCCGCACCCTGATTCCTCTCCTGCAACTGATATCAAAACTCTAAGCCCTCAATGAACACTATCCTAGCGCTCTGCTTTTCTACCCTACCCTTACCTTTTCTACCCCACTCCCTCTAGCATGTAAGCTCATTGAGCAGGGCCCTCAACCCCTCTGTTCCTGTGTGTGTCCGTTTACAAATACTGTTAGTCCACCCATTGTACAGCGCTATGGAACTTGTTGGCGCTTTATAAATAATAATAATAATAATAATAATAATATTGCACATAAGCTTTTTAGAAAGTGGTTGTCTCACTATCCCATTACTTCTGTTGTATATTTAGCTCCCACTAGCCTCAGCCAGAATCTCATTGATGGATTGTAGTTCATTGGAGGCATGCAACTTCGTGCGCTCAGTGTGATGGCCCGTAAACCAGAACTGATTCATGATTTGTTTTATTTTTCAGAGAATTGGAGAGTTAAATTGTCTGAGAGCTGGGCCACACTGTAGCCAGCTGATTGACAGCCCAGAAAGGCCGCACAAACTTAAAAAATAATTTATCTCCAGTATTAAACATTTTTAAAAAGATAGGCTGCAGGAACAGGGACTTTGCACCGTAAATATGCCAGTAGGATGAAGTGGTTATAGTGCTTAATGTTATCTTTTAACTTTCTGTAGCACTGCTGAAATAATCCTACAAATAATGCCTTCTGAGCACAGCAAGTGTTTCTGGGAGATGTAGTTCAGTTGTAAGCTTTCTGCAAGTTGCAAGTCATGACATTATCGCTCTATATAATATTTATCTTGGTGTTATGTGCCCTGCATTAAATCCCTAAATCATGTAATATGAATCTAACGGACCATGCTCCCCATCACTATTCATCATCCTCTATCTGTGTTTTCTTTTCCCAGGATTATGAATACCCTCTCCATCCCCACAACACTAACTACCAAAAGAATGACAGGTGCCCGCCTCCACCCCAATCCCTGCCAGATCGAGCCTGCGAGGTGCCCAGCTGCCGCTCCGACTCTGAGTGCGAGAGACACAAACGCTGCTGTTACAACGGCTGTATCTACGCCTGCTTAGAGTCAGTCCAGCCTCCGCCAGGTATGACATCATCCACTTCCAGCTGGCTGGCTGAGCATGATGAAAAACTTAAATGTGGTGTTTAATGTTGTGATCAACATCAGTCATGTCTCGGAGCAGCCCCAGGCTTCAAATACTGGTTAAATCACGGCCTAATCTGTATTAATCTCAGTGTCTTCCTCTTATTCTCAATTAAAAAGTGGATTTAATGTGTGCTCAGCCAATAAGGTAAACCCTACACCGCTGAGCCAGCTCAGTGCAGAGAGCTTCCAGCTCTTCAGGAAGAGGTGACTGCTGCACAACGGACCCCAGCTAAGTTGTTTGCAAAACTTTTGACTACTTAGCCTGGGAGGGTGTCAGTGCACTTGTGTACTTTGCTGTAGTGGTTATGGTGCTTGAAGTGTTCCTTTAATAAGGAATATTCTAAAGGTAATGTCTTGTTTTTATTATCAGTAGGTGTATTTTTACTGTTTGTTTATTGATTTATTTTATTTACACAGCTGTATCGGGTGTTTTAAATAAATACAACTAAATCAATCTTGGAAACAGACATTTGAATAATATGATACATAAAACTCCAAAATACAGGAGAAGGTAGTTAAATCGTATACTATGTGGCAGTCAGTATGTGCCCCAAGTCAAATTTATGGACTCGGTTGTTTGAGTGATTCACTGACTTGTGTTTAACGCCTAGCACAGAGCCGTGTATTCATCGTGAACCAGCAGAGAAGGTAGAATGGCGACGCTGCAGAGCTCAGTGGCTGCCTTAGTATGGGCTCCATTTAGAAAGTCCGTTTATTAAAGGGCAACTCCATGCATCAAAACCAGCACAGCTCATTGCAGTAGTTATGGTGCAAATAGTTAGAGTCAACAAAGGAAAGGCTGTAGAGATATCTAAATACTGGTGAATGCTGCCAGTCCAAGCACCACTCCCAAACAAATCTAACAATAGGAATACAGGTATCAGAGGGTACCAGGTAGCGGCACATAAATTAATACAAACCCAAATAGTAGACATATTTTATCTGTTAAATAAACCATGGCCGGTCACAAAAAAGTGAGAGAGAAGAAAACAAAAAGATTGTGATACAATACATTTTTTCAAGTAACAGAAATAAAAGTATAAAAAAACACTCACAAACAACAATGCACATATATAACACAATGTACAAAAAGAGCCCTTGCAATGCTGTTCATATAGCCCCATCGCAAAGTCCGCCAGTATCAGAGAGAGAGGGGCAGTCGTACAGAACCACGGATTGCCACTTCCACTTCTCTCTGGGAGAGATTCTATGTGGACACTCAATCCACTTGCACAGCGGTTGAAACGTTCACTGGTCAATGCGTTTTACTCCTACAGTATAGCATTGCAATATGGAGATTTTGGCTTGGAACAGTGCTAGACTGCCATCAAGCGGACATAAAGGGTAATTACATTTTAAGCACATTTTGTTTAATTGGTACGATATTTTTTATTCTGTGACAGCAGGTGAGCCTCCCGAGTTACAAACTTTAGCTCCTATCACTTTCACAGAATACATATGGCCGATTCTGGGTTATTTATATATTTTTTTCCTAATAACACTTCTTATGTCTATAAACTATTTATGCTGGTTTGAGCATTTGTAACATTAGAACTGGGGAACCCAGGTTTGAATCCCGGTCAGACCACCTTTCCAGTAAGTGCCCTTGAGCAAGATACCTAATAATGAATATCTGTCTACTTCAAATACACATTAATATTCCCTTTCTAGAATTGTAAAGCTCTACGGAATACGTTGGCGCTACATAAATGCTAACGATAAATAGCTTGCTGTGCATAATGGGAGATCTTTGCAAACCGCTGCCTTCAATGTCCGAAGGGATTAACAAGCTTAGCTGAATAATGTTTCTACCTGCTTTCAGTTACTGCGTCGGTACAGCAATTATTAATTAAAACAGAACTCAAACTGATCAGTTAATTCAGACAGCAAAGACAGCCCAGTCAGGTGTCCCGTCAATTCATTGTTCTGCTGGCTGCAGCCCACAGCTTCTAAAACAGGAGGGACATAATTACAGGTCACTGTAAGTATAAGGAATAATATTTAACAGTGTGATGCCAACCAAGAAGCCTTTGTACCTCCTGAACACTACGATCACTGACTGCAACAAACTAATTCATTGAACTACTTATTTCGTGAGTGTTAATCGGCAACAGTACAATGTATTTGCACTTTATTTACAAGAGTTTACAGAATATAGCAAAATATTAAAAAGAATATACTTTGTGGGCGCAAGAGCTTACACTCTGACACCCGTCCTGCATTGGATATATACAGGACGAGAAACCCAAATTTCCACATATCACAATTTCCTCATTTTTCAAATCTAAGATAATAGTAAATACAGAGCTTACTGGGAATTCTTTATATATTACATGATGCTTAGCGTGCTTAAAGGGACACTATAGGCAACCGGGCCATTTCATCTCATTGCAGTGTCTGGGTGCACTGTCGCTGTCCCTTTAGCCCTGCAAAGTCAGAGAAACTGCAAGGTTTAAATTGCAGGGTTAAAACTGTTTCAAGTGGCTGTCTACCAGACAGCCACTAGAGGCGCTTCCTGCAGCTTTACAAAGTGTAAATCTGTGAAATGGCGCTGCCGCCCTCATGTTTTGCATAAGGATGTGTGGCATCTTTAAAATCCGCATAGGAAAGAATTGTGTCAATGCTTCTTATGGGAAAGGTCTAATACACGCACGGCATTTGCGGCTCATGTGCATTAAGTCTCCCTCATCGGCTGACGTTGGAAGAGAGGGAGCCTGACCTAGTGCGAGAGGCCACTGCCATGGAATCATTTAAGTATTTAAAGGGTTATTTTACATTTTCATCGCTGTGGAAGGATAGGAGCCAGCCACAGAGGCAGAAAGACATTATAATGTTAGAAATACAGTTTTGTATTCTTAACTCTATAGTATTTCTTTAAAGTCCAGTATTTGCTTAACTCTGCAAGAAAATTAAAAGGGAGACTGGTAAACAATTATACAAAAAAATAGAGTTCGATGCAAAAGGCTTCTATGTACAATCTTCGCAGAGAACATCCCTCCTCTCCTGCAGTGGTAACAGAGTTTACTGTTTCCAATGAGAGGGATGCTGTGTGATCACTAATGATTAAAGGAACGCTATAAACGACTAAAGGAACACCATATTGTTACAGATACAACCCAACCCCCTTTCTTATCTTTTATCCAGCACCAAAACTCCCACGATGCTGCTGCCACTGCGCCCCCTGCGACGTCATTGTGAAGGTGTTGCTTCCCAGGCATTCGTCCAGTCTAGTGCTCCTCAATTCAAAGCTTTCCTATGAGCAGCATTTTGTCACATCACCGAGTGTCACTTGGAAGCTACTGTTTTACATTACAGGGTTAAAGCAGCACTGTCATGCCGAACTTACCTTTCCCCAATCGCTTCCTCTTCTCTACCTCTGTCAGGATCTGTTCTTCATTTCTTCCTGTCTGCTCTAATTTTCTTTTAAACATAAGAGAAATTAGGGACTAGTTTGTCTTATGGAAGTTTCCTATGCTTGACCGGCGGAGCAACAAAGTGTGCTCCATTTCTTGTGGTCAGAAAAATCTTCCCACAATTCTCAGCTTTCCTCCGTGTTCTCGCAATGCCTCCTTTCCGTATTCCCGAACTACTGAATTTCGTTCTAACAGAATGAGAGCAGTTCGTCCATTCGTGTTAGGACACAATTCGGGACTTTGTTCGGATCGTGGGGCATCTCTTAACTAGAGTGAAATAAGTCTTTCCCTGCCCTGCGGAGCTCAGTCTGGGCCGTGCCCTCGCTGGGTGAAGATGGATTACTTATTTAGCATCTGTTTTGTTTTTTTCAAACCAAGGGTGTGGAGCTGCACCCAATCCCAAGTAGTATGCTTGACAAAGACCGTGCAGGTCGAAACGTTGTGTGTGTGCAGTGGGTTTAATAAAATTTGGACCGTTTTCTATTTTTTCCTTATCACGGGTTCTTTTTTTCATCTGATTTATTTATTTTTTTTTGCACTTGAGTTTTGTATTTTATTTTCAAAGTTCGACGGGTATTATCGATTTTTATTTGGCATTTTTGGGGCTGTAAAAAGAAGATTTTTGAAAAAAGGAGACATCAAATAGTAAGTTTTTTATGTATAGGTATTTTGTTTTCTCGTTCTCCCCTCACTATTTTTAGGTTGAGGGGGGTAGGTAGGAATTTATTTAATTTTTGGGGGGGTTATGGGAGAGGTGACTAGGGGCTTGGGGACCCCACTAATCTTGGGGGGGTGTGGTTACATTTAGGACAATCCTCCCCCCCCCCCATTTTCATTTAGGACCCCCACCCGCCGCTCATGGGTGTGGCCGAGGGAAGGACAATAGGTCTCCCCCTTATTGTAATTTAGGGCCCCCACTCGTCGCTAGTGGGTGGGGGCCGGGGGAGGACAATAGATGTGTGTCCACTTGCCACTTATTAGGTCCCTCTGCCACTTATTGTAATTTAGGACATGGGGGGCTTAGGAAGTGGTGAGGAGAACTGCTCCCTGCCGCTTCTATTTGCACGTATTACAAGGAGGGAGCTGCGTGCCAGTAGCTCCCTCCTTGTAATAAACCAAAACGAACGAAGAGGTCTTCGTTCATTCGTTTGAAATGTCTATTCATTTATTCGTCTTTCTGATGAATGAATGAATAGATGAAATTCCCGTTTGCATGTCCAAGTGTTGAACTGGGCATGCGCAGGAATTTCTCAGTGCTATCTAGTGTGGGCAGATGACGTGTCCCACAGGGACTTAATCTACCCACTCAAAGATGGTGGCGCCCAGGACCTAGGTCTGGACAGAAATCTGAAAAAATAGTTAAGCTGGGGGGCTTAGGGGCATTTGGGGGTATCTAGGGAGGTCAATTAGATGTAGTGGAGTCGAGATGGGGGGTTAGAAAAAACTGTATTTGGCCATGACAGTGCCGCTTTAAAGATAGAGGGACACTGCGCCCAGAACACATCATGATGTGACATGCACCGATTATATTCTGATATAACGTATTACAATGTTTGTTTATTCCTTCTTTGTGTCGAACATTCCAATTTGTAGCTGTTAGGAATGAAAGAAGTAAGAAAAAATTATGAGAATGAAAACAAAATAAATATGTGATGCATCGTTTACATGATTCACAGTACTGATGGGGCTATAACTCCCATGATGCTTTGCTAGTCTAGAGATCATGGTAAAGTATCACGGGACTTGCAATTCTGCAAAAGCTAGAAAGCTAATTTTTGGCTTCCCCTGATTTGGACACATTAAATAACTCTCAACTTCATTCCACGGAGTTCCATCATCCGTCTGTGTATTGTTTATAATTTTATAGATGTGATGTGCCGTTTTATTTTATTCCAGTGCTTGATTGGTTGGTGCAGCCCAAACCGCGCTGGCTAGGAGGGAACGGATGGCTACTTGATGGACCAGAGGAAGTGTTACAAGGTACATTACACTAAACACTGAGTTTTGGGAGTTGACTCTAGCAGTTTGGAAAAAAACAAAACTTTTATCTTCTAGGACCCAATGTCCATCCCCTCAGCTCCCAACATGGTAATACAGGAGAGTCATCTGTAAAAACACACTGGATAACAATGATTGACTGTGAGAGCCCCACTTTCTGGTTTCTGTGTGCAGTGAGAGCCCCACTTTCTGGTTTCTGTGTGCCGTGAGAGCCCCACTTTCTGGTTTCTGTGTGCCGTGAGAGCCCCACTTTCTGGTTTCTGTGTGCCGTGAGAGCCCCACTTTCTGGTTTCTGTGTGCCGTGACAGCCCCACTTGCTGGTTTCTGTGTGCCGTGACAGCCCCACTTTCTGGTTTCTGTGTGCCGTGAGAGCCCCACATTCTGGTTTCTGTGTGCCGTGAGAACCCCACTTTCTGCTTTCTGTGTGCTACGAGAGCCCCACTTTCCGCGTGCTATGAGAGCCCCACTTTCTGCTTTCTGTGTGCCGTGAGAGCCCCACTTTCTGGTAAAAATGTGTTATTAAAAGCAGTACTGCTTTGGAAGCCACCAGTGGAAATCAACTTTAGCTTAAAAGTAGCAATACAGGGTCAGGAACACAAACATGTTTTCCTGAACCTATAGGGTTAAAACCACCATCTAGCACAGTCCCCTCTTCCCTCCTCAAAAAATATAGTCCCCTCTTCCCTCCCCAAAAAATAGTAAAATCTTACTTGTATTCAAGTCTGGAGCTGCAGGCCTTGTCCATGTTTCCTGTAGACCTGCCTGCTGACATCAGCAGAAGTTGTAGAGTGATCCAATCACAATGCTTCCCCATAGGATTGGCTGAGACTGACAAGGAGGCAGATCTGGGGCAGAGCCAGCATGATTCAAACACAGCCCTGGCCAATCAGCATCTCCTCATAGAGATGAATTGAATCAATGAATCTCTATGAGGAAAGTTCAGTGTCTGCATGCAGAGGGAGGAGGATACTGAATGTTTGGATGCATTTTAGGCAGCCATGACCCAGGAAGGATCTCTAACAGCTACCTGAGGAGTGGCCAGTGAAGTTATCACTAGGCTGTAATGTAAACACTGCATTTTTTCTGAAAATACAGTGTTTACAGCAAAAAGCCTGAAGGTAATGATTCTACTCACCAGAACAAATTCAATAAGCTGTAGTTGCTCTGGTTACTATAGTGGCCCTTTAAATCCTTATTTTATAATATAGGACTGTGTACCAAGATCAAAGAATGTGAATTTTAATTTTTTTTCAAAACAGTCCAGTTTTGTTTAGTTTGTTTGTTTTGCTACTTGTGCCTTCATATTTGAAATTGGTTGTGAATATACTGTTTGAATATATGAATCATTATTAAGAATTAAGGTGCAGACTCTGACAAATGAAATTAGAAATGAATACTTTTGCATTTTAAAACATTATTAGTGGAAGTCACAATGTTCTTTCTGAGCTCAGGATTCTGCCTCACTCCCACCTACCACAACGCTTTGAAACAATCTGCTACACATTTCTATTGCTTTTTGGAAGTGTTTTCATCAGTTCGGGCTAATTAAGCACTTAGTCCTTGAATATTAGGAAGATCCAATTAGCTACCCATTAAATGGAAGGCGTTACAAATGAAACTTTGAGAAATGAGGGTAATTTGACTTCACTACCAGTGAACTGAGTTTTAAAGGACCTTGGAATGCAACCAATTCACGATCTTTTCTGAAAAGACAGAATGTCATGTTTGTATTTAATAAAACAGTATGGGATCAGAAAATATGCAGTCTTTTATAAGACAGTACACACTGGGCTTGTTTTATAAGACAGTATGCACTGTGCTCGTTTTATAAGACAGCACTCATTTTATAAGACCGTATGCAGCGCACTCGTTTTACAAGACAGTACACACTGCACTCATTTCATAAGACAATACACACTATGCTCATTTCATAAGACAGTACACACTGCGCTCATTTTATAAGACCGTACACAATGTGCTCGTTTTATAAGACCGCACGCACCGCGCTCGTTTTATAAGACAGTACGCACCATCCTCGTTTTATAAAATAGTATGCACCTCCCTCGTTTAATAAGACAGTACGCACCGCCCTCGTTTCATAAGACAGTACACACTGCGCTTGTTTTAAGAAGACAGTACATAATATGCTCGTTTTATAAGACAGTACACGCTGTGCTTGTTTTAAAAAGACAGTACACACTGCGCTCATTTTATAAGACCGTACACAATGTGCTCGTTTTATAAGACCGCACGCACCGCGCTCGTTTTATAAGACAGTACGCACCGCCCTCTTTTTATAAAACATCGCACACCACCCTCGTTTAATAAGACAGTACGCACCGCCCTCGTTTCATAAGACAGTACACACTGCGCTCGTTTTATAAGACAGTACACGCTGTGCTTGTTTTAAAAAGACAGTAGTACGTGCTATGCTCGTTTTATAAGACTGCTCAGTTTATAAGACAGTACACGCTGCGCTCGTTTTATAAGACAGTATGCAGGGCAATGTGCAGTATGTGCATTTTATAACACAATATGCAGTGTGTGCATTTTATAACACAATATGCAGTGTGTGCATTTTATTACACAATACGCAATGTCTGCATTTTATTACACAATACAAAATGTCTGTATTTTATAAGACCTATAGACCTATACTCCAATGATACACATGGATGTCTCAAATCCCCAAAAAATTAAAGAATGTTTGTTGTTGTTCTTGTGACAGCTGAAGCCTGCAGCACCACTGAAGATGGGGACGAGCCCTTGCATTGTCCTACAGGGTACGAATGTCATATAATTAACCCTGGCAGCCCTACAGAGGGAATCCCAAATCGAGGGCAGTGCATCAAGCAAAAAGGTAACACAGGTCAGTGTGCGCAAGAGTCCACAGACACGTACCCAGAATTCTCCATTCTCAGGCATGGTGTGTCAGAAAGCATATTCTACATCCAGAGTTACCAACAGGTACTACCCCAACTAGGACTCCCATTATGCTTTGCCAAGCTTGGCATCATTGGTGAAGGCTACCTTTTCCCTACCCTTGCCCCACACATTGTTTGTTAGTATCAGTCCTGTTCAGTGTAGGAACCGCAACATGTTTTGGCACAGAGATCTGATGGGGATCAAGAAATTAAAGTGGAGCAGCTTAGAGGTGAATAGTGAAAACACTAAATGTGATTTTGTGACCAAGCATTGGGACATCCAGAGAATTGCCAAGGGAATTTTGTATTATAGGCCAAGATGGCAAACATGTAATAATTCTCCAACTACACTATTCCTACTCCTCAATTTCGATTGCAATTCTCCATGAATCCTGCCATACTGAAAAAAAACAACCATTTGTACTAATGAATGAGGAGGACACAGAATGCCTTTGTTGTGTTAGGAAAGGTCTTATAACACTATGACACTGTTTTACATGCTATTAAAGGGACACTCCTGGGGGGGCAGCGCTTGCAACCAACTGGGTCAGACGCCATTTCAGCCAGCTCCTCTCTACTAGCCTAAAACTGGCTAAATATCAACACCACCCTTACCCATCCAGCCCCACACACCTGCTAACTTGAATCACGAAGGCAGCCCGCACCTGGCGATGCCTTTCTTTTAGCCGAACAAGCAGACAAAGTTATGGCGCAAGTCCGGGGACTAACACACACCACCAATCCAAGGCCTGGGGGCTATCCTCAAGGGTATTGCGGCAGGAATCAACATAAACACTCTCACCACCTCAACGCTGCTCCCAAAAGCCAAATCCAGCGGCGGAGGGCAGAGACATCAGCTCCATGCTGCAGAGACTTGCGCAGCCAAAACAGTCTCCTGCCGAGACGCCGCGGCCTACACATTCAGACACCACAGGGGGGAGCGAAGAGGTAAGGGCCACACACGACCTAGAGACCTGTCAGATTCCACCCCCAGAGCCTTACAACGGCACGGCTCCCACAACAAAGAATGACTTAAAGGTGCTGTTGGCAAACATACACGAGCTCTGGGCCGCAGACCTAAAGCTTATCAATGCTGACATACACACAGTCACGGGCCGAATGAAAACATCTGAAAGGGACATTTTTGATATTCACTCAGACATGGCCACAATTAAAGCATCTTTCACACAGCTACAGGTTCACCAGTCTGCTCTGTCGCTCAGAATGACAGCCTTTGAAGACAGACAACGCCGTAATCATGTTAAGATCAGAGGCGTCCCCGCTAATATCGCGGTCCGAAGAGCTGCCACACTACACCCGAAGGTTGATGGCGACTATACTACCTCATCCAGTTGCCAGAAAGCTGTCCATCGAAGGGTTCTATCGCATAACAGGCTTGCCCAAGGCACAACCTGAGCAAATAAGGGACTTCATACTCCGCTGCACCTCTTCTCAAGATAAGGCCCATATTATGCTGGCCCTAAAAGGCAAAATGCCATTGCCATTTGAAGGCGCATCTCTAACCTTCTTTCAAGACCTTACATGAGCCACACTGCTTTGGCGCAAATACTTAGTCCCAGTTACCTCTCCACATAGAACCGCTGGAGTGGGGCCCCCCTGGGACTTTACTACTATTCATACCATTACCTCCGGGTCCGACACCCCTGACTTCCTCACCATGCTGGGCTTAGGAGAACAAACATGGGACCCTGCCACCATAACACCGTCTATACCAAGATCAGGGACATTGCAGACCTCCGACACTTGATTACATCCACTGCACGCACATAGATGGCAAGAACCAGGGAGCACAAGTCACCAATCTGAGACTTTCGCAAAAAACACAATGTGCCACAGAAAGTTATAATTTTTTGTATTATTGTTTTCTTTCTCTTTCCTTCTATTTATTTTTCTTTTTATTCTTGGCTTTTGTTTATTTATGCACCACAAATGGCCGAACATGATCTAATGGCAACTTCCTAATCCCTTGAAGAATGTTACATTTTATTCATGCATTTCCATTCTATTCTGTACCACAATTGCCATTGTCTCAATAAAAGAGAGAATTAAAAAAAAAAAGGAAGGGCTTTATGTGTAAAGATTGTGTCCTCTTATTGTGTCCACTGGCTGTCAAACAGACATCTGGTCCTGTTCTGTTACTTCCTGGTTTGTTTAGCTCAGTGAAGCTAAACTCAAGAGGCAACAGTTACCCAGTGCACCTGCCTTGTAAAGACTTCTCATTGAGCTGCATTGGGAAGTCTGTGATTGGACAGCCACATAAAGTCTGGGTGGGGTTAGAAGGGGAGGGCTTGCAAAGGCTGCAGACAAGAGTTCTGCAATTTATTTCAATCTGTTTTTAGATAAATCTCCAATGAAAAGTGCATAATTAAATGCCCATTTTCATTGGGGTACATTTATTAAACAGTGATTTATTTTTTGCAGTAGAGTAGTAGACTGACCTTTTAATACTTACCTATATTGTCACATGGCCCCTATACTTCAAAACACACCTTAGTAATACAATTAAATGCTTTTATTTGTCATTAAATATCTGCAATGGATGCTATTTATAGGGTCACTCATAAAGGTCAGACATGACTCCAGAATGGTGGGCTCTATATTGGGCAGAAGGGGATTTTATGTAAATACCTCTTACTGCCCACTCTCCCCATGGGTACAAGCTTGCCAGTGGACATGCCAACCACAGTGCCGCTTAAATTTGAAATTCCACGTGGGTTGTCCAAATGAAAGTTACTGATTGTGAATTTGTTTTTCTTTCCAGATGGAAGAAATCTGAGACACAAATATTACAAAGACTTACCTGGTGAGCTATTTTCCATTATTGATATAATAATATTATTGATGTTAAAATGTATTCACTTAGAAGGAAAGAAGAAAAAAACACACCAATAGCTATTATCCATTGTCAGCAGACAGATATGGACCTGGCAGAGATCAGACTGTGTGGTCAGTAGATATGGGAGGAGGGTGCAGTGATGTCAGATGAGTTTACCGGACAAGAAGTGGGGAGCAGAGGTCAGTGGACATCAGGAAAGGAGGCGATCCATAGAATATGATGGAAGGGAAACAAAGATGGGGAGGGCAGTTAGATGGGACTAAAACCTGCAAATCTGAATTCCACAAAATTAAAAAAACTTTTTGAACACAAGGATGCAACAAGTCCACGATATTCAATGCAGCATCTGTTTTTTTAAACATTTTACTTATTATAAAAGCTGCAGCAATGCTGTTTGCTCAGGGTCTCCATAACTTTGTGGCGGGCATTACAAGTAATGACTACAGACCATGCTGGAGATCCAAAGCCAAATACCTAATGAGATATACCTGCCGCCCTGACACTTCGACATATGACAAAAATGGGACAGTTTGTGCTGCCTTCGAGACACTGTGAAGATATCACATACTCGGAATGCCTAGTTATGTACAAGAATATGAATTCTTCTTGTCTCCCAGTATAAAAGCTCAGTTTCAGGAGCTGTAAGGCCAACCATCAGAGCCCAGCACTAGATTACAATGTTTGCATGTTTTATATTAATTATACAATTTTACTGTAAAGGTATCTGGAATTCAGCTGTTTTCCAATGAAATAGGACAAAGGCATGTGTGCTGTTATTTGCCAGATCCACCTCATCTATCCCCAGCACCGCTCCCTTTCCAAACATTATATAACCGGGGGACGTGGGTGTGGGAATTACAGCGGAGCTCACATTGTTCTCTACTGACTTGCTGCCAGTTAGACTGGCCATGCCAGGAATTCTAAATCCTCCTTGCAAGTTCCAATGCAATGATATGCTGGCTGTTTTTAGAAATGAGCTGTATTGCTCTTATCACAGCCAGCTTTAAAGGAGCACTATAGTCACCTAAATTACGTTAGCTAAATTAAGCAGTTTTAGTGTAGAGATCATTCCCCTGCAATGTCACTGCTCAATTCACTGTCATTTAGGAGTTAAATCACTTTGTTTCTGTTTATGCAGCCCTAGCCACACCTCACCTGGCTATGATTGACAGAGCCTGCATGAAAAAAGAAAAAACTGGTTTCACTTTCAAACAGATGTAATTTACCTTAAATAATTGTATCTCAATCTCTAAATTGAATTTTAATCACATACAGGAGGCTCTTGCAGGGTCTAGCAAGCTATTAACATAGCAGGGGATAAGAAAATCTTAATTAAACAGAACTTGCAATAAAGAAAGCCTAAATAGGGCTCTCTTTACAGGAAGTGTTTATGGAAGGCTGTGCAAGTCACATGCAGGGAGGTGTGACTAGGGTTCATAAACAAAGGGATTTAACTCCTAAATGGCAGAGGATTGAGCAGTGAGGCTGCAGGGGCATGTTCTATACACCAAAACTGCTTCATTAAGCTAAAGTTGTTCAGGTGACGATAGTGTCCCTTTAAGCCAGGGATGGTAATGTGGTAGATTGACAGCCACAGTAGGACTACAGTTCCCATGATGCTTTGCTAGCCTTTTAGGCTGGTAATAATTGTAGTTGTACATCAGCTGGAGGGAACACATTTGTGACTTGCTTTGGAACCCTGGGACATTCCAACTGCCACCTTTCTTTCTTTACACACCAGTTGGTTAGGGGAAAGGTAGACGTGGTGCCAATCGTAACAACATCAAGAAAGTTTGTGTAAAAAACAAACAGATTTTTACAGAATTTCCTAAGCACCCCCCCAGATGCAGAATGTACTTGTACTTCCAAACCCCAATTAAAGCCCCTTTCTGCACTTTGTGTTTGTTTGGGATAGCTTATTAACCAGTCAACGATAAAGATCATTCAAGTTTAGTTGGTCATTTAAAACTAGTTTGAGGTCAGTGGTTATAGTTAGTTTGAAAAGTAAGCAAGTGTTCTTATGATTGAGAATTCAATGACTGCAGGATATTTATTAAAAACAAACGTGTGAAAGGTTAAAAACTGTTTATGGCTCTTCTCATATTAAATATTATTGCTTTTGATTTCTATACTGTTGGTATAATAAATACTCTATATGCTCTAGGTGGTAACTATAACAATATCCTGGTGGGCTTTGAAAAGCAGCCGCAGAAGCACTTAGGATAAAGGTCAGTATGCCGACATATTTTACAGAGGGGCTTATGATCTATAAAGTGATTTGTGATGAGTTGACAACTGACGTGCTAAAAAAAAAAGTTGTGATACCTGAACTAGATTACCCCAGCTTACCGGCCTTCCCCTAGTAATCCATGTTATATGAATTGTGTGGGACTCACACAGAATGTTATCATCAAGTCACCATCAATGCCACCTAGGAACGTACCCAGAAAAACAGATTGATGACGACATAACCAACTGCTCCACGAGGCTCCACCAGCCTTTACAGACGTCCTTGGCAAAGACAGTCATGATTGTGGTAGCGCAGTGCCTGTTCTCCAACGTGCCTGAGGCATAACTGAACAAGTGCCCCCAATCATCACAGCTTTGGAAACATACGTGTTCATGCATTGAACAGTAATTTGTGAAACAAGTTCAGCATTTTTTCCAAAGTGTTGTTTTGATCTTCATTTTTTGACATGGTTATCAGGTGACCTCCGTTTACAATTTAGTTTATAAACCCCCTTTTTAATTTATATTTATTTGAACTAAATGTAAATCTACCGATTTCTGCCAAAGCCATGATGTAGGTGGCATCGAATGCACTGAAATTTTAAACGTGTACAATCCATATCAGAATTATGTGCCAGTCCTAACCTCTGCAATAATTATATTATATACAAAAACATCAAGAGGCAAAGAATTAGTCACAAATTGAACTTTTTTTTTTTTTGCTTCCATAAAAGCTATCGTTCCATGGCACTCCGCTATGCTAAGATTTCGTGATCATTGCTGAATATGTATGACTCTTGCGCGACTGTACAGTCTATGATTACACATTAGTGAGAAATGAAAACTCTTACTTTTTTGCTATAATTCCAGCCCACTTGACAATGCCCCATCAATTTAAAGTGATGATTCTTCCCCTTTAATGAGGATTTGGGCAGAATGGTGCTCAGACTAGCATATAACTTTCTATTACTAATCTACTTGTCAAATGCATGTTTTTGTTACTCAAGGCACAGAATGTCCCTGATTTGTTAGGTAATATCTCGCATCCCACACAGACCTGCTGTTTGTTTTCCTTGTCTATCCTGGTGTGAATTAGTTAGAAATATGAGCCTTCACGTTTTATGTACCCCGAGGCAAATGACCACTTCTTAAATGTGGTGTGTTATGTGAATCGCTTTGAAATAGAATCAATTTAACTTCTTCAGTGTGAGGGAGCCTGTCAGATCAACCCTGGGTGTACCAAAGGACAGTAAGCAAGTTACTGTTCAGCAGAGTGCATTGGCTGGGAATAAAAATAGTAATGGTCCAGTGTTACAAAGCAGTACATATTAATATAAACTACAACAAATCAAACTCATTTTCTAGAGTTACATTGTAGTGACATAGAAAGTAGGAGATCTTCTGCACAAGATGAGAATCAAAACTCCAAGAAGCAGCGAGGTGAGGTTCCCAGGCAGCCGAGATTTTTAAGATAGAATCAAAAACTGGCAGATAGATCTGCTTTTCAAGTTAAAATTTAGGGGACTGAAACTGTCCTGGATTATCAGTGTAGCATTACCTTTATTTATAACATATTCTGAAGAACACAATGGGCATGCCTTTCAAAGATACTATTACCTGTTAGATTGTGGCTGTGTTGCAATAAAGGAATTTTGCTAGCGTCATTTATTCTTCAGATCATCTGCAGAGGATAAATGGCAATATATAACGCATCTGTCTGCATTTTAATGTATTTTCTTTCATCTGATTCACTGTACATTTAGAACCCCAAGCTGGCTTTACCAGTCACCATCGCAACTCACCCAAAGAACATGGTTCCTTCAGAGATACCCCTGAAACAGACATCTAAAACTTCTCGCCATCAAAGAAGCTCTTCCTCGGCTGGTATTATCTGTCAAACACAATGACATCTCTCCAAGAGAACATTTATTATAGCAATCCCCTGAGATCCAACAAGGTGGACATTGGAAATCATAGCTTTAAAAGCTAAGAGACTACAAATCTTTCATTTTCCAGATAATGATGTGGTTTTCGCCCCCTGACTTTTCATATGGCATTTAATGAGGAAAGAAACACTCTTGCCGTCATGGAACGTTACAAATGTCCTCCCTTCCTCGAAGACTGCAGCTTCCACAACTTTCACAGATGCAGCTCCTTTGTTCTAAGTTTAAGGTTCATCTGCAACTCTTTGGGAGCCAGAATGATGGCCAATTCCATTGCCGTTTTAAGACATACGCATACTGGGGCCATGCGTTCCCTGGCAGTCTTATCAACATTGACATTCAAACTTTAAAATTTTATTTTTCGTACAACAGAATTATTTGTGCATTAAAATACATGTGCTTCTACCATTGTTTAGGCTATGACCCATGCATTTCTCTAGTCCCAGTCTTCCTGCACAGTGAGGGTAATGTCTGCAGTAACACTGCCCCTGAATTAGTGATGTCACAGGAGAAAATTTCGCCATCTAACATGTCCCTACCTCCCTGAGCTGCAGCTGTGGTCCCTACCAAGCCCCATCCTCCCCTGAGCTGCAGCTGTGTCCGTACCAAACCCCAACCTCCCCTGAGCTGCAGCTGTGTCCCTACTAAACCCAAACCTCTCCTGAACTGCAGCTGTGTCCGTACCAAACCCCAACCTCCCCTGAGCTGCAACTGTGACCCTACCAAGCCCCATCCTCCCCTGAGCTGCAGCTGTGTCCGTACCAAACCCCAACCTCCCCTGAGCTGCAGCTGTGTCCCTACTAAACCCAAACCTCCCCTGAGCTGCAGCTGTGTCCCTACTAAACCCAAACCTCTCCTGAACTGCAACTGTGTCCGTACCAAACCCCAACCTCCCCTGAGCTGCAGCTGTGTCCCTACTAAACCCAAACCTCTCCTGAACTGCAGCTGTGTCCGTACCAAACCCCAACCTCCCCTGAGCTGCAGCTGTGTCCCTACTAAACCCAATCCTCTCCTGAACTGCAGCTGTGTCCGTACCAAACCCCAACCTCCCCTGAGCTGCAGCTGTGTCCCTACTAAACCCAAACCTCTCCTGAACTGCAGCTGTGTCCGTACCAAACCCCATCCTCCCCTGAGCTGTAGCTGTGTTCGCACCAAGTCCTTACCTCCCCATGAGCTGCAGCTGTATCCCTACTAAACCCCAGCCTCCCCTGAGCTGCTGCTGTGTCCCCATCAAACTTTAACCTCCCCCTGAACTGCAGCTGTCTCCCTACTAAACCCCAGCCTCCCCTGAGTTGCAGCTGTGTCCCTACCTCCCTAAGTCGCAGCTGTGTGCATGTGCAGTCAGGAGCTCTGTGGAAAGCAGAAAACTGCCAACTGGAGTGTAAGTACTGCCCGCTTATTCTGCAGTTCCACTCACTCTGTGTAGAAGAATGCAGAGGAAGCAAATACAAACCAATCCAATTCCCCCAGAGGTGGAGGAGGGCTCACAAGATTTTGAGTAGGAGATCCAAGGCTAAATTAATTCTTACACTAATCTCCAAAGCCCTTCAGCTTGTGTGGGATTAAGAATGATCCTTCCATTATGTATGTACAAGACATTTTAATTATAAAATGTGATACAAAATATCAGAACACTAACCGTTTCAGAGTTCTGGATAAATTGTCTCTGGAATCTGTCACCTTGAGGGCTGGCCATACTTTGTGACATTTGAATTGAAATACTGTGTGTAAAGGCAAGTCCTGAATGTTCCAAAGCAGCAGGACATTCTAATGTTGACTGTTTTGTGTGAGGCCGAGGTTAATAATTTACCAAACATAGTGCATGCCAGCGATGGCTGTCCTTGGACCTTTGGTTGGTTTTTGTCGGAACTACATTTCCCACGATGCATAGGAATGATAGCCATTACTGAGCATGTCTGACATTGTTGAGGAACGCTCAGAGGCCTCTGAATCTGCCCTGCATTACATTATCTATTCTCCTTGTAAAGTTTCCAAGACATACAGACTCCGTTTATAGGATGGAGGAATAGTCATTCAAATAAAATCAAGAAATCCCCTCGGTAAGGTGGATTTAAATCTTCTGAAATGTTTATTTACATGCCCTTTCGCAGGATTCCCTTCATGTAGTAGTATAAATGTTCTCTTCCTGTTCCTTGATTTAATATATATTGGAATAAATATGAATATGGCCACATCTTAATCATTTCATCCATTAGTAGTGGTAGGAGGTTCATGGACGGCCCGGAGTCCAGGAATTGGTGCACGGATACCTAGCTACAGGAGTCAGGAGCTGGTAGGTTTACTTTGTGAACATCATTTAGCATAACTCCTGTGTTAAGGGGACACCATAGGCACCCAGACCACTTCAGTTTATTTAAGTGGTCTGGGTGCATTGTCCCTGTCGGACTAGTTCTGCAATGTAGAACATTGCGGTTTTGAGTAGTAGCACAGAGTCTAGAGCTGGGCTGCCTAATAGGTAGATCCCCAGATGTGGTAGAACAACTCCCATGATGCTTTGCATGCCTTTAGAATGACAAAGCACCATGGGAGTTGTAGTTTTACCACATCAGGGTATCTACCTATTGGGGAGCCCTACTACCAGACAGCCACAAAAGGGGCTTCTGGGATTTTACCAGACTGGATCGCCTAACTGATGCAGGACATCCTTATGGAAAATCCCCACAGGAATATATTGTTAATGTTTTCCTATGGGGAGGTCCTAATGCACTCGAGGCGCTTACCGCGAATGTGCATTAGGGCCCTTCGCCAGATGACTGTAAAGAAGGCAGAGCGGCGACCCAGCTATCTACAGAAAGTAACCATGATGTGTGATCTGTCAGTATATGACAAAGGTCTGAAAAACTGTAAGTTTTTTTGGCTCACGTGTATTGCTGTTCCTCTATGCTGATTCTACGGCCTGGCTTTATTTTACTAATATTGGAAAGTCAGCCAAGTGCGGGTGAGATTGGCTCAAGGCTAAATAAATCCATATGCTATGCGGCACCAGTTTTGCTACAGTTGACCAGCCTGGGATAGTTTGAATTCTTATAGCTGTGCCGCACTCATCTCCAGGAATTAAATTGGGGTATTCCATAAATTCTAAATTCTAGCAAATGAAAATGCCAAAATTAAGACTAAAAATTGAGCTGATCTGGACAAAAAACCAAAACAGAGGTCGTGAATGTAATTTGAAAGAAATCTAGAGTTTTGAGAGTTGCATGTATCGCATGTGCTTAAATTGTTTTACTTCTTTTTAAATTACACATTCCCCCAGTGAAGATAAAGCCATGCCTATTGCTAGAAATTAAATCAAATTAGTGACTGTGTTTAATTGTTGCTCTGTACAGAAACTACCATTTGCCACCAGAGGTTTAGAAAATAAACTAGGCAATGGACTTCAGTTTTTCACAACTCTCTGACAATACTGCAGGTCAAGTAATGGCCAGCAGGGGGAGCCTGGGACTGCTGTAATCATATAATTGCATAGGGAAAGTAAGTAATTTGGTTGCTTGGTAACTGAACAGAAAAACAAACAGCTTAAAACACTGGTCTAAGGACTGTTTGAATGGCACTGCAATATCACATAAACACAAACAAATCTATACAATAAATAAATACACACACATGTATTGGTGGGTAACATTAGCCAATAAAGTGCCATATATCTGTGTAATTAGGGATACCATATCCACCCTATTTTCTGGAACACATATAATATATACAAATTGATGGGCAATATATAGACATCAAATGGTGCTGTTAGCAAATCAGGGAATTTAATCCCAAATCCTGCAGCATAGACGTTATCTGTAATACAGGGCAGCACTTTCATGTACTGCCAATCAACATGATGAAATTATGTGTGTCCCAGAAAACATGGTGGATGTGGCAATGTATATCAGACATTGTGGGTCTTTGCAGCATTCACTCAGGTTGCTGCACAGTGTGTGACAATGAGTTCATGATCATATTGACCCTGTGTGTGGGGACAGCAGGACAGAACCGTTTCCTGGATTTAATTTAAGGCCTAAGTCTGCAGTGGGGGCTGTAAACGTTCTGAATGTAAGAGCATTATGGGGGATGTAGTCCACATCATCTGGAGTGCCAAAGGTTGCCTATCCCTGGTCTACCTCCTTTCTCTCACACTTTACTGACAGCTTTGTAGGTCAAACTTCATGGTTGCTTTCCAGTATCTTGGAAGGTGGGAGGGTATTTAAACACGCTGATGATATTACATTGTTTGCAGACTGCCTGTACAGTGCAGATACCCGCATTGGGTATTTTATATATTACACTTTGCAGGTTAGGAAGCTGCTGGCCATGGAATGCCATAAATTATTTCCAAAATTCTTCTACGCTGCATCTTTGACAATTCTTATGCCTCTAGTCTTGGTACAGAGATTATATATCTAAAAAAAATGGTATTCCGGCTTCTATGTAGTTTTTCAGACCCTGTCAAAAATGCATCACTGTGTCCTATGCTCTAAGTAATAAAGAGAGGGTGGAAGTCAAAGGATTAACTCATTCAGCAGCTGGACTGGACAAATCCCTTATTGTTGCAGTGTTCGTGATGTGTGTTTGTTTATGAAGCCATTACATTTCACCTATAATAATGCTTTTCCACCTTTACAACATTGATTTCTCTAGGACATAGTGAGTGGATCCTAAATCCACCGTGCTCCAAGAATCGGCCATTGAGCCTGTCTTACAGAATGTCCTTTTAATATTTACATGATTATCCCCCATAATGGTGTGTGGGATGAATGGCATGAAGTAGCAAACTGTAAGCAACTATCCTTGTGGCCTGCGGACAACTGGATAGCAGTGCATCCAATTCCGAGTCCTGGGTATGTGCTATTTACCACTTGTATGGCTATATATAGAGTTTTGGCATTTCTTTCTCCACCCCAGTACTCATTGCCCTAGTTGCAGCTGGCACTCCCCAACCCATAATAATTGGCTGTGTATATCACTGGGTTTACCCACTGAACTGTAAATTTTGGGAAACTGCTAAGGGAAATGCACCATTTATCCCAAAATTGCTAAATTGTTAAAATTCCTAAAATTTGCATTCCCTTTGTCAATTTCCTGCAACTCCCAGTTTATTGAATAAACCAATCTTGTGTGCGTCCCTAGTTAAAGGAAGGTGATTTACACAGCTGTTATATTACATTATGAAATGGGATTTTCCTGCCATGTTTTATTGCTCTATTGTTTTTATACGCATGTGGCTGCTGGGAGCAGCCATCTTCCTTTTATAGTAGATTTGTTTCTGATAAAGCAATACATATAGACGTTGTATGTCTCCCAGGCCATACAGTTTGCTCACAGGATTACAGTGAAATGTCAGGACAATTCCCCAAATACGTATAATTTTCAGTTTGGCGGTTTTGGTTACTTTGGACTAAATTTAGCAATTTAGATTTGGATATTATTTGCTCCATTTTGGAATATAGACAAGAACCCAGTATATGCTTGTAAGAGGTGCGGATTCAGGGCAGCTCCACCAGAAGGTACCAAAAACTCTGCACAGGTGTAAAATGTAATTGTCACATCCAGAGCAGTGACAGTGTCCCTTCTGGCCTACAACAGCCCCCCAAAATACTTTAACACTCCTTGGAGAGAGAAAGGGGAGACATAGTGCTGGTGTCAGGGCTGTCCCAAGACTGTAGAGGTAACCTGAGACCTGCAGATATGTGTGGCTGCAATAGGGATGGGGCCTAGAGATAGGGTTAATTAACATGATGTTATACAGAGTCCCCCCACCATCCCAGTGAATACAAAATACTCTGCTAGCCTTTGTGCAAACACAGCGCTTTGCAGATGGGTGATGCTCTGCAGGTCCCACCCATTTCATGCTCTGCTGGCTCCATCCCTCTGATGCTCTGCAGTTCTCACCCATTTGATGCTCTGCAGGTTCCATTTATGTGATCTGCAGCTCCCACATATTTATGTGATGCTCTGCAGCTCCCACCCATTTAATGCTCTGCAGGTCCCATTCCTGTGATGCTTTGCAGGTCCCACCCATTTGATGCTCTGCAGGTTCTATTCCTGTGATGCTCTGAAGGGCCTATTCCTGTGATGCTCTGCAACTCCCACCCATTTAATGCTCTGCAGGTCCTATTCCTGTGATGCTCTGCAGGTCCCATTCCTGTGATGCTTTGCAGGTTCTATTCCTGTGATACTCTGCAGGCCCTATTCCTGTGATGCTCTGCAGCTCCCAACCATTTGATGCTCTGCAGATTCCATTTCTGTAATGCTCTGCAGGTCCCATTTCTGTGATGCTCTGCAGATCCCAACCATTTGATGCTCTGCAGATCCCATTCCTGTAATGCTCTGCAGGTTCTATTCCTGTGATGCTCTGCAGGTCCCATTCCTGTGATGCTCTGCAGGTCCCATTCCTGTAATGCTCTGCAGATCCTATTCCTGTGATGCTCTGCAGGTCCCATTCCTGTGATGCTCTGCAGGTCCTATTCCTGTAATGCTCTGCAGGTCCCATTCCTGTAATGCTCTGCAGGTCCCACCCATGTGATGCTCTGCAGGTTCCATTCCTGTGATGCTCTGCAGGTCCTATTCCTGTAATGCTCTGCAGGTCCCATTCCTGTAATGCTCTGCAGGTCCCACCCATGTGATGCTCTGCAGGTCCCATTCCTGTAATGCTCTGCAGCTCCCACCCATGTAATGCTCTGCAGGCCCCATGCCTGTGATGTTCTGCAGGCCCCATTCCTGTGATGCTCTGCAGGTCCCACCCAGGTGATGCTCTGCGGGTTCTATTCTTGTGATGCTCTGCAGCTCCCACCCATGTAATGCTCTGCAGGCCCCATTCATGTAATGCTCTGCAGGTTATATTCCTGTGATGCTCTGCAGCTCCCATTCCTGTAATGCTCTGCAGGTCCCACCCATGTAATGCTCTGCAGGTCCCATGCCTGTGATGCTCTGCGGGTTCTATTCTTGTGATGCTCTGCAGCATGTAATCCCACCCATGTAATGCTCTGCTGTGATGCTCTGCCCATGCTCTCATGTAATGCTCTGCAGGTTATATTCCTGTGATGCTCTGCAGCTCCATTCCTGTAATGCTCTGCAGGTCCCACCCTGTAATGCTCTGCAGGTTATATTCCTGTGATGCTCTGCAGCTCCTTTATCCCTGTGATGCTCTGCAGGTTATATTCCTGTAATGCTCTGCAGGTTATATTCCTGCGATGCTCTGCAGCTCCTTTATCCCTGCGATGCTCTGCAGGCCCCCCCCCATCCCCCTGTCTCTGGGTACCAGGGGTCGCGCATGCGCAGTGGCCGCAGTATCCAGGCTCAGAGCGCAGCCGGAGTGTGAGCATCTCCCCGGCCATGGCATCCCCCGGCGACCAGAGCGGGGTGGGCGGGCACCTCCTGGAGGTGGGCGGGGCCTCGCTCACCTGGAACACCTGCAGCACCTGTCCCAGGTCCGGCCCCGGCAATGCGCTGACTGCGGACACCCCCAGCCCGCTCCCAGTCTCCCCCAGCCCGCTCCCCCAGGCACAGGTCACCCTGCCCGCCGGGAACATGGGGGGCAAGCGCTTCAACAAACTGCTCTCCCATGTCAGGAGACTGCCCCACAAATACCACCTGCTGGGGGGCAGCGAGCTCAAGGCAGAGGTAAGGGGCAGTGGGCACTAGGAGGGGAGGGTGGGATACCAGGCTCGTGGAAGTGGCCATTGAGGGCATAAAGGGGCACTAGACATGGCACTGAGAGCACAGAAGGGGCACTAGACATGGCACTCAGGGCACAGGAGGGGCACTAAACATGGCACTCAGGGCACAGCAGGGGCACTAAACATGGCACTGAGCACAGAAGGGGCACTAGACATGGCACTCAGGGCATAGAAGGGGCACTAAACATGGCACTGAGGGACACAGAAAGGGCACTGAGAGCACAGAAGGGGCACTAGACATGGCACTCAGGGCATAGAAGGGGCACTAAACATGGCACTCAGGGCATAGAAGGGGCACTAGACATGGCACTCAGGGCATAGAAGGGGCACTAGACATGGCACTGAGGGGCACTAGACATGGAAATTTAGTGTACTAGACATGGCACTGGTAGCACAGAGAGGGCACTGGGGGCATAGAAAGGGGCACTAGACATAGCACTAAGGGTGTAGAATGGGGCACTGACTATTCAGTAAATGGTGGAAGCTGCTTAGGTTTGAAACAAGTATGGCACTATGCAGTATACTGAAGTCTGCATCGGTGGCACTGGGCAGTATGCTGAGGAGGTAGCTGTAGTAGGGGCAATGTTGTGCTGGTTTTGAAACACTGTATGTAATACTGGGTATATGTGCTAGTATTGTTAATTCTGGCTGTGTAAAGTAGACCGCTTACTTTGAGCAAATTTAATCTAATACAGGTCCCTAGTAAAGTACCCGGTGTTGAGGTATTTGTACCCATATACCGGGTGTTGAGGTATTTGTACCCATAAACCCTGTGTTGTGGTATTTGTGTGTCCATATACCCTGTGTTGTGGTATTTGTGTGTCCATATACCCTGTGTTGTGGTATTTGTGTGTCCATATACCCTGTGTTGTGGTATTTGTGTGTCCATATACCCTGTGTTGTGGTATTTGTGTGTCCATATACCCTGTGTTGTGGTATTTGTGTGTCCATATACCCGGTGTTGTGGTATTTGTGTGTCCATATACCCGGTGTTGTGGTATTTGTATCCATTTGTATTTGTGTCCATATACCGTGGTATTTGTGTCCATATACCGTGGTATTTGTGTCCATATACCGTGGTATTTGTGTCCATATACCGTGGTATTTGTGTCCATATACCGTGGTATTTGTGTCCATATACCCTGTGTTGTGGTATTTGTGTGTCCATATACCCTGTGTTGTGGTATTTGTGTGTCCATATACCCTGTGTTGTGGTATTTGTGTGTCCATATACCGTGGTATTTGTGTGTCCATATACCGTGGTATTTGTGTGTCCATATACCGTGGTATTTGTGTGTCCATATACCGTGGTATTTGTGTGTCCATATACCGTGGTATTTGTGTGTCCATATACCGTGGTATTTGTGTGTCCATATACCCTGTGTTGTGGTATTTGTGTGTGTGTGTGTGTGTGTATATATATATATATACACACACACACACACACATATACCCTGGTTGTGGTATTTGTGTGTCCATATACCATGTGTTGTGTTATTTGTATGTATATACCTGTTGTTGTGGTATTTGTGTGTCCATATACCATGTGTTGTGGTATTTGTGTCCATATACCATGTGTTGTGGTATTTGTGTCCATATACCCTGTGTTGTGGTATTTGTGTGTGTGTATGTATATATATAAATAATATACACTGGTTGTGGTATTTGTGTGTCCATATACCATGTGTTGTGGTATTTGTGTGTCCATATACCCTGTGTTGTGGTATGTGTGTGTGTGTGTGTATATAAATAATATACACTGGTTGTGGTATTTGTGTGTCCATATACCCTGTGTTGTGGTATTTGTGTCCATATACCCGGTGTTGTGGTATTTGTATGTATATACCTGTTGTTGTGGTATTTGTATCCATATACCATGTGTTGTGTGTGTGTGTGTGTGTGTGTGTGTGTGTGTGTGTGTATAAATAATATACCCCGGTTGTGGTATTTGTGTGTCCATATACCCTGTGTTGTGGTATTTGTGTGTGTGTATGTATATATATATATATATATATAAATAATATACCCTGTGTTGTGGTATTTGTGTGTGTGTGTGTATGTATATACATAAATAATATACCCTGTGTTGTGGTATTTGTGTGTCCATATACCCGTCTTAGGGCACCTGGTATTCAGAGAGCCATGAAGGTTTCTATATCAGGGAGGGCTCCAGGGTTATTTACCAATGAATTCACAGGTTCCCACATGCAGTGAGTGCTAATCTGAGACTGTTTCTGGATGGAATAGAATATATATATATATTTTTTTTAATTATTGAAAGCTGCTGATATAGCATTTTATGATTGGGTAATGTTTGGGAAAGGTTTTGTTTGATATATCACTGCTGTGGACTACATTTCCCTGAATCCGCTGCTCCTGGATAAACAGTCTGACGGTTAACTTATCCCAATGAATGTCTTAAATATATGTTCTAATTGCAGCAGAATCATTGTGTTCTCTGTATAATTCTATGCACTTACCTGTCCAGTTGCTAGAGTTACAAAATCAGAACCCAGCTTTGTTTCTAATTGCTCAGAATGCTGCAGGTTCAGTCAGTGGCGTACACACAACCCATGGGGCCCCGGTGCGAAAACTGATCCGTGGGCCCCCCCGCGTGTGCTTACTCTGTGCGGGCTGGGGCCGCAACACATAGCGGCGGGCACCTGGTTGCAGGGCTGCGACTCCTGCGACCGCGGTATGTATGCCAGTCCATGCATTAACACATACACTTAAATGACCACTACAGACACCCAGATCACATCAGCTCAATTAAGTGCTCTGGGTGCCAGGTCTCTCTAGTTTTAACCCTGCAGCTGAAAACATAGCAGTTTCAGAAAAACTGCTATGTTTCACTGAGGGTTAATCCAGCCTCTAGTGGCTGTCTCATTGACAGCTGCTAGAGGAGCTTCCGCGATTCTCACTGTGAAAATCACAGTGAGAAGACGCTGAACGTTCATAGGAACCATGAGTAATGCTTTCCTATGGGCGGTTTGAATGTGCGAGCGGCTTTTGCCACGCATGCGCATTCGGAGCTGAGGGGCGGAGAGATCCCCAGCGCCAAGGGAGTCCGGCGCTGGAGAAAGGTAAGTGCTTAAGACACACACACTCTCAGGAACAGACGCATACACACTAGCTAACAGACACACACATTTACTGACAGACACACACTCAGTGACAGACATACATACACACTCACTGACAGACAGACACACACACTCACTAATAGACACACTGACACACTCTAACACTCACACACTAACACACACAGTAGAATTACCAGGCTTAGTGTTGTTAAAGACTTTTCTACACGTATATAAGAAAGGCAGGTGTTTATATTCTGTTTTAATGTTATAACCTACCTTCCAAACACATTGACTCAGACTTTCCCTGGAGGGTTCATTTGCATTAAATAAAGCCCTAGGATCAGAGACGTAACTAGAAACCACGGGGGCCCCGGTGCGAAAACTGCACTGGGCCCACCCCCCTCCCATACGTCTACCCTCCCATATGTGTCCCCCCACACATGCAGACAAACAGATACACATGCAGACACACACATAGACACACACACAGACATACATGCAGACACACACAGAGACATATTCATAAAGACATACAAACACACACATATCCATAAGGTGCAGGAGGGTGACTTTCCCTTGGGTCCAGTGGTGGCTCAGCCTAATTCCCACTCTGACTCCCTCCTCTTCCTCCCGTGCGGTGCTGTATGTAAGCTGGGAGGAGTGTCCGGGGCAGTTGCTTCCTCCAAGCTGTGATGTCATTTCCATCGGGTGGCCCTAACAGCATGGGCCACCCGATGTGGCCGGGGCCGCATCACATGGCAGCGGGCACCGTGGTCGCAGGGGTTCCCTGGAGTGGCGGCCTGGTCCTGCGACAGCGGTAGTTCCGCCACTGCTTAGAATGCATAACAAAACATTGTTATTTAATATCTGCGCTTAATTCTTTACAATATATTTTAGTTTCATAAAATGTAAATGTAAAAAAGTTCCTTTTTAGTAGTCAAAATCTTTCGGTGGGATTATTTGACCACACATGCAGCCTGGATGTGGGTTTTAATTGTGGACATGTGAAGCTGTTCAGCCCACTCCCATCACACACAGTCCATTTACACACCATTTCATTCCTCTCTCTACCTCTTTGTTGCCAGCCCTGTGAGGGAGATGTAACAGTCCTCTCCAGAAACCCGCGTAATAACCATGCCATCTGTAGTAACTGGGCTCCTGTGAGTGGATTGTGAGGTCGGCACATGATGTCACTATGCGGGATAAAACATGACTTTGATATAAATGCTGTAGGTTGGTGCCTATTGTGAGTTCAGCATTAGAGACCTTTTTCCAAGCCGTAACATGGTGTATGTACGTGTAAAAGCAGTACAGTGGGTACATTTTAAGCACTGGAATTCCTCAAATTAACAATAGCTTTCTGGAATACACTGTTCGAGATTCTAGAGTCTTTAAATCTCCCACAGCAGTGATAAGTACCAGCTTCACCATGGCAACTAAAACATTTTGGAATCCAGT